CAAAAGGAAATAAAGGATTCAGACTAAGTCTTGTACTTATAGTTGAAACTCAGCAAGGGTTGATTTCTGAAGGTTTTACATACTGTGAATCCAAGTCCATCTGGACCAAAAGATAAAGCTTTTCATAGATCATGCAAATGGCATGCATGGATTACATTCCATAATTGCCATTAAAAGGCTTTTAACAAGTTGTAGATGTTCAGTATCATCCTAAGGTTTTCACTACCCTGTGACTCCTTAGAGAATTAAATTACCATCTGAGAACTTCAATAAGCCAGTGTTCAATTAGTATCTTTGTTTGTTTTCCGTTAGTCTTGTCAAAAGAAAGATTAATGTGCAGTTCACTCAGTACAGCTTTTCTTAAAAGCAATATAATGTCTAACTCGAAATTCCATTTAGATGCAGGGAAACTGATTTTTTTTTTATACTGTGTGATGATCATTTCACCTTTCCTCCCAATTCTTTCACTCTTTTTTTTCCCTTGTAAGCAAACATTTAATCCTGCTTAACCCTCCTTCTGCACCATCCCTAATCCTGTGATGCTGAATACTATAATATTTGAGTTTTACTGCCTAGGTGAAAGAAAAACTATTTCTGCAAAGGTGGACGCTAAAAGAAAAAAACTGTAGGATCATTTTGCAAATGGAATCACTAAAGAGCCATGCATCTTGCTGGGTAATAGCACAGAACCTTTAAATCACAGAAATTAGAGACAGGAGACCTGTCAGGTCACCTTGTCCACCTGCAATAGCAGCTTTATGTATTTTGTGTGAAATCACATGCAGTGAAGCATTTACCAGAGCCCTGGGGAGAATCTAATACTCAGTAATACATCTCCCTGTTGAGAAAATGTCATAGAGAGCAGTCCACCTTTTCTTTTGCCTAATTTCACATTGTTCTGCTTTGTTATATCATTTAAAAATGCAGCCACACATTCTTTTGCTCCTCCATGTTTGAAATCTACAACCATATAATATTATATTATTATTGTCTTTCTTTGTAATTATTTGAGCCAAGCTATACAATTTGCACCTTAAAGTACTAACTTAATCAATCACCATTGCACCATGTAGTGACTTTCTAAAGGGTTATTCACCACACTCCCATTTACTCTGATCTGAAGCTGTATTTCTTATAATTTTATTTTTTCATGTGTGTTTTTAGATTCAAAAAGTTTGCTCAATTCTTATAGACAATGAAAATGATTCTCAAGTTAGTGACTGGACATCACAATTCCATTAAGATTCAGATAACTCCTATAGCCATGATTTATTTTATGTACTACACAATTTTCTAGGACACCATCAAGTTTAGTATCTCACAAATCTAAATACCTCCTGGTGTGTCAGGTTGTCCAAGTGAAACCACCTTTGCAAAACTGTGACAGAAAAAGAAATCTGACATGGCTGATGCCATCTTGCTTCTAGGCTCACAGGCTGGTTGTCCTCACTCAATTCCTAGGCATGGGCCAAGCTAACTTTGGAAGAAATTTAATTTATAGTTTAAATGTTAATAGCCCTTCCCCAAACTAAGCTGCCCTTGTAAAATTAATGAAATATCCCCCAAGTTAGGAGGATGAGAATGGCCTGAATTCTACTATGATGCAGATTTAACTAAATAATTGCCAGCCATTATTCAGGAGGTCACAAGATTTGCAAATTCCTCAATTACTCCTGTAAATGACATCATTATTGTAGTATAGTAACTAGCCAAGCATGGTGGCCTGCACCGGTAGTCACAGCTACTCAGGAAGCTAAGGTGGGAAGATTGCTTGAACCTGGGAGGTCAAGGCTGCAGTGAGCTGTGGTTGTGCCACTGCACTCCAGCCTGGGCAACATAATGAAACACTATCTCAAAGAGAGAGAGAGAGAGAGAGAGAGAGAGAGAGAGAGAAAGAGAGGGAGAGAGAACCTGAGACCATGCTTTTGAGATGTCTTTTCATGCGTCTGCATTCCTGACTACCTAATGACCCCACCCAGACCTGTTACTCAACCAGTCCCATGGCCAGTCCCATGGCCCCCAATCAGAAGCAGAGCCAGCACCACAGGACTGTATTCTACATCTTCCCTATTATTGCATCCCCAATCAATTAGCAGCACTTATGCCTTAGCCCTCTGCTTACCAAAGTATCTTTGAAAAACCCCTAACCTCTGCACCTGTGGCGAGATTGATTTGAGTCATAACTCCATTTCCATGTGGAGTGGCTGGTCTCATGTCAATTAAACTGTTTACTGCAATGCAATGGTCTCTCTGAATTGATTTTGTTTTTGCAGTAGGCAGGAAGAACTCACTGGGCAGTTACACAATTGTTATGTCTGAAAGAACACCGTTTAATAACTCTTGGGCACAGCTATATGACTGACTCTTTCTTGATAAGTTATTTCATCTACATGTGTTTCAAAATGTACTACACTACCTTCTGGAAGATAAAACATCACATTTTGCACATCCAAAAACCCTACTTCTCCTAGGTAGGAAATGGAGACAATCTCCACTCAGGTGTCTAGGGTGAGCAAAAGTCAGTTGAAGGTAAAGACCTGTCTTTGATTCCAAGATGCAGTGTGTTGGAAGGTGGAGATGCTCTTGTAATTATTCCTTCTCCACCCACCACCAGCACCCCAACACCATTGTGCTGGCCTCAAGTGGATGCACTGCTCACTGTTTAACATCCTGCCCAAGCATGCAGTCTTTCTCACAATGCCCCAGGGGAAGGCTGCAACATTTAGATAAGACTTTAGTAAATGCTTTTGGACAACCACAGGGACATACACACAGAAAATCAGAAGTGCAGATTATAGCTTGAATTATTAGAATGGTAGATCACATTCCATGTTAGTTTTCGACCTAACTCTGTGATATGGTTTGGCTGTGTCCCCACCCAAATGTCATCTTGAATTGTAGCTCCCATAATTCCCAAGTGTTGTGGGAGGGACTCAGTGGGAGATNAGAGAGAGAGAGAGAGAGAGAGAGAGAGAGAGAGAGAGAGAGAGAGAGAGAGAGAAAGAGAGGGAGAGAGAACCTGAGACCATGCTTTTGAGATGTCTTTTCATGCTTCTGCATTCCTGACTACCTAATGACCCCACCCAGACCTGTTACTCAACCAGTCCCATGGCCCCCAATCAGAAGCAGAGCCAGCACCACAGGACTGTATTCTACATCTTCCCTATTATTGCATCCCCAATCAATTAGCAGCACTTATGCCTTAGCCCTCTGCTTACCAAAGTATCTTTGAAAAACCCCTAACCTCTGCACCTGTGGCGAGATTGATTTGAGTCATAACTCCATTTCCATGTGGAGTGGCTGGTCTCATGTCAATTAAACTGTTTACTGCAATGCAATGGTCTCTCTGAATTGATTTTGTTTTTGCAGTAGGCAGGAAGAACTCACTGGGCAGTTACACAATTGTTATGTCTGAAAGAACACCGTTTAATAACTCTTGGGCACAGCTATATGACTGACTCTTTCTTGATAAGTTATTTCATCTACATGTGTTTCAAAATGTACTACACTACCTTCTGGAAGATAAAACATCACATTTTGCACATCCAAAAACCCTACTTCTCCTAGGTAGGAAATGGAGACAATCTCCACTCAGGTGTCTAGGGTGAGCAAAAGTCAGTTGAAGGTAAAGACCTGTCTTTGATTCCAAGATGCAGTGTGTTGGAAGGTGGAGATGCTCTTGTAATTATTCCTTCTCCACCCACCACCAGCACCCCAACACCATTGTGCTGGCCTCAAGTGGATGCACTGCTCACTGTTTAACATCCTGCCCAAGCATGCAGTCTTTCTCACAATGCCCCAGGGGAAGGCTGCAACATTTAGATAAGACTTTAGTAAATGCTTTTGGACAACCACAGGGACATACACACAGAAAATCAGAAGTGCAGATTATAGCTTGAATTATTAGAATGGTAGATCACATTCCATGTTAGTTTTCGACCTAACTCTGTGATATGGTTTGGCTGTGTCCCCACCCAAATGTCATCTTGAATTGTAGCTCCCATAATTCCCAAGTGTTGTGGGAGGGACTCAGTGGGAGATGATAATTGAATCATGGGGTGGTTTCTTTCACACTATTCTTGTGGTAGTGAATAAGTCTCACAAGATCTGAAGGTTTTATAAGAGGTTTCCTCTTTCACTTGGCTCTCATTCTCTCTTGCCTGCCACCATGTAAGACATGACTTTTGCTTTCTGCAATTGGGAGGTCTCCCCAGCTACATGGAACTCAGCTACATTAAATCTCTCTCTCTCTTTTTTTTTTTTAAATAAATTACTCAGTCTCAGGTATGCCTTTATCAGCAGCATGAGACCAGACTAATACACTCTACTTAAGAGATTTTCTTCTTCCACCCAGGGCCCAAAGTATAGATATTATGATGACTCAAATTTAAGACTCTTCTGAACCTAGTAAGATTAATGCTGAGAGAGGAGTTACTTGTCCTACCTTCTGGAAACTTTGGTGAAGCTAGGAGCTGTACGTGCCCATGCATACCAGATGGACAAGTATAGTAAGCTTTTATGCATTTTTTTTTCTCAGAGGGGATTAAACTCCCCGCAAAACCTGACAAACTTGTCTCAACTTGCATTACTCTATGACGAAAAAATGGAGAATGGCTGCAGGAGCGGTGGGAGGGTGAGAATGGCTGGTGGGCAGAGAGAGAGAAAAGGAAAGAGAATTATGTGTTGAGTGCTTACCCAGCAGGCATGTACTTTATGTACATTATCTCATTTACTCATTACCTAAATGATTTCAAGGTAGGTAAATGGAAAACAGTTCTGTCTGACTCCCTGGCTTATACCCTTCCATCCACACAATGCTGCACCATTTTTCAAAGACATGAGGTTTAATGAGACAATAATGTTGGTAAAGTGTTCTAATTTCCTTTGAGAAAAGGAGCCATAAAATTTTATTGTTATTGTTACACTTATTATTGAAGCTCAATGAATGCTTTAGTGGTGTCATTGATGTAACTAATATTACACTCATTTGTTTCATTTAGGGAACTAAAGCCTAAAAATAAGAACAAGCAGTTTTAGTGTGCTTTAGATTCAGCTGGTTATCAAGTGCCACTTTGCAGATGGAGACCTTGAGGACTAACTCAACAAGCCAACAACCAAGGTCGAAGATGGTCTTGAGGGCAAAAGTGAAAAGTATAGCCAGTAGGTGCTCTTTCTAATGCTTGGCTTTCCCTAGGGGTGAGAAAGGGGTGGATTAAAGGGGAAAGGCCTGAAACATTGTATCCTCTGTCTATAACTGTTAAAGAAGGAATGTAGCAATAATTCCTTCGCTTGTTTGTGGAAATAACAGTGGATTCAGTTTAGATAATTTGCTTCTCCAGAAGGGCAGACATCTTCCCCTTTCTAAGAAAGAGTTTATTGTGTTAATTACATAAAACAAAATTATGTCAAGGACAGGAAGGTACTGCAAAATGACATGGAGTCATGCATATATTAAAGCACAAACAGGAACCTGGGCATGATTAATTTTAGTTTTTGCCATTTTACAAAGTCTTTATAGTGGGAAAGAATTCAGTTTCCTCCTAAAAGCTGCATTTTTGGTTAAATAATCCCAGTTCTAATTCTAATTTAAGAATGAAAGAATGAGAATTTCACCTGCATTTTATGTGGCAGTTATGTGTTTAATTATCATTTGTCTAAGCTTGGACTTTGTTTTCACATTTTTTCTGACATGTGCTACATTTGAAGAAATGTAGAATTCTGCACTTTATTCAGACCTGATCTCTGATGAAAGCAGAAAGGAATGTCCATATGATCCACTTTCCTTGTCTTCAGCAAAGAAAACAGACCTAGAGAAAACAAGTGCCTCAGGTGAGATCTTACAGTTGGTTAGCAGTGCTTGAAATTTAATGTAAGTCCCCCTTCCACTGCTCCGTTTGTCCATTTTATTCATCATGAATTGGTGTAGACAAGTCTTTCTGTTAATTTACTTTACCTTAAATTTGTCTAATATTTTTCCTAAAAGGGCAATACAGAATGAAGATAAGGACCCCTTTGCTATCTATTGCTACATTTAGGGAAGGTAGAAAGCACCTAGTTACCTTTGCAGCTCTTCTCTGTGTCCTTCTCTGTGACACCACTGTGTGATAACAAAACCAAGCCTATGCCTTGCATCGAGGCACACTGGGGATAAAAACCTCATTGACTGATACAAAATATGCAAGCACAAATTATTCCTTCATTGTAATCCATAAAGCATTTCCCTACCACCAACCTCCACATCTCCTCTTTTTCTTGTCTAATCTTGCTTTCCTACAGAAAATGTTCAGCAATAAGAGTTGAGGAAAACAGGAGGGAAAATATAGGAAGTGGTTAGGAGAAAGGCAAGATAGACTCCAGCAAATGATTTTTAAGCATGCCTGGAAACGGTTGGCATCTCAAGCTAGAGATAAATTCATTGTCTTGAGTTCACAGCACTTGCCTTTTATTTTCTGGAAGTCATACTTCCCAGTGGAATAAAAAATGTCCCCAATTTTGGTAATCTCACTTTTTTCATGGAAAGAAAAAATTTCTCATTATCACCTCCTCTCCATATTCCTAACCCACCTCCCAGGAATCTTGTTCTCTTTAATCAATCTACTTTCTGCAATTGAAAAAAAATGAAGGAAGTCTTTTTATTTGGCTAGATTATAATTTAGTTTATAGAAAGGAATATTTTATCTTTTAACCCAAAACGATAATACAATATATAATAGAGAGGAGGTGTTAAAAGTATCTGATGAGTGAGTGGATTGATTGGATCAAGAGTTTAGTAATCATTTTTTCATTACCTACACTGGTCAGCCTTTCTGGGAGGGGAAGAGAGTTGCTGTGATAAGAGTTTGCTGTAGTTTAATGGAAGAGACATGCAGGTAAACAATCAAATAGTGCAACATGACAAATGTTCTTAAGAGACAGGAACAAAGAACTATGGAATCTTTGAGAAGAGAATGACAGATTTTCCTGGGGTGTCAGGAAAGACTTGTAGCAATATCAGCATTTGAGTTGGATCTCAAAAACTAAGACTGTCCTAGGGTTGTTAAAACGGACAAAAGTGGGGAAAAAAAAGCTTTCAAGCTTGTGCAGGCTTGGAGGCTACAGAAACTTGGCATGTTTGATGAACATTTAGAAATTCAGTGTGGCAGGAGCCTTGAGGGAAGTGGCAGGAGCCTTGAGGGAAGTGGCAGGAGACGTTTTATACTGGAACCAGGGTCTGAAAACTCTTGAATGTCAATGTGGGGAGGTTGAATTTTATTTTCTGGCAGCAGGCAACCAAGAGAGGCTTTAAACCTGGGAAGTTACATACTTGATTTTTTTATTTTTAAGAAAGAAACCTAGAAATGATATCTATAAGAGTCTTGTCACAGAAACCAGTTAGGGAGTAATTTTAATAGTTCAAGTGAGATGCCTTATTCAGTTTAGGCTGCTCTCACAATGTACTGTAAACTGGGTCATTTATAAATAACAGAAATTTATTTATCATAGTTCTTGAGGCTGGAAGTGTGTGATCAGGGCATCAGCATGGACATAGTCTGCTGAGGGCTGTCATCCAGGTTACAGACTGCTGACTTTTGCTGTGTCCTCACATGGCAGAAAGAGGACAAGAGAGCTCTCTGGCTTCTTCCTTTAAGGGCACTGATAATCTCATTTGTGAGGGATCCACCCTGGTGACCTAATTACCTCCTAAATGCACCACCTCCAAATACTATAACAGTGGGATTAGGGGCTTAAGTATGAATCTGGGAGCATACAAAAATTGAGCTCATTGCAGGTAAAATGAAGATTTTCAGTGGCAGGGGAGATAGGAAGTAGAGGTCCCTAGCACAGACTCAGCAGATTCCAGTGACTGAGTGAGAGGGGAGTTGAATGTTCAGCACTGAAAGTTTGGGGAAACAGAAGGGAAGAAGCTGCAGTAGAACTGACGTTCTTATAGCAGAGAGTCAATAAATTAACCTGAGAACATAGGATACACATAAGGTTTTCACTTATTCAACACACCTTTCATTAAATATTCTCGGTGTATTAGGACCTACTTAGAAACCTTATGAAGGAGGAATATTTCGTACCATCATAGAGCACATTGTTTAGTGGGGCTATATAGATTTAAAAGTTAATTATGTTGTGGTAACTACAATGATAGCTAAATATGGCCAGCCTTTATAGTGATTATTATGTTTTTGACACTATTGTAAATATTTTACATGAACTACTTCTTTTAATCTTGAAAACATTCTTAAAAAGGAGAAGCTGTTATGATTCCCACTATACATGTGAGAAACTGAAGCACAAAGAGGTTACGTAATTTGTCCAAAGTCATACAATTGGTAATGCAAGAGCCAATATTGAAGCCCAAGCAGTGTGACTCCAGTCCGTGCCAGTGAACACAAAACTGAATTCCTCTGTGATAGAATTATATGTAGAATAGTGTGTGTGTGTGTGTTTGTGTGTGTGTGTGTGTGTGTTATGAACTTTGTTGTCAATATTAAGTTGGAGCTGTACAATATCAAAGTTTATTGTTCCAGCAGACAATTAGAAATGTTGGCTTAGAGGTTGGAAAATAGATGAAAGCTAAAGGCATAGTTGAAATCTGCAATGGGAGTATATCTACAAGGGAGAGTATTTTTTTCCACCATTAGAAGGTCATAGCTCTGGGACCCCATACATAAGGGATATATGAACAACATGAAAGAGCAGGAATGGTCAGAAGATTGCTAGACTATGTGGAGAGTAGAATATACAGATATCAGAATACCATTTCTTGAAAGAGGAAGATACAACGAACAGTGCCAAGTGCTGCAGCAAAGTTATGTAGTACTGAATATAGATGGTTGAATTTAGCAATTGGAAGGTTATTATTGGTTTTAATGAGAATAGTTTTTGTTGTTTGATAGTGAAGGTAGGCACATTTAAGAGGCTGAGAATGAAAGATCATGCAGAGGGATTTATACTTTTTGTTTGAAGAAGGCAGCTTCCAGAACAAAGGAATTTACAGTCTGTTAATGCCAGATTATCAAACAGAATTTGGAAATAGTGTGGAGGAGGAAGGAAACAGAGAGATCATTTGCAAATGCCATTCTTAGAAAGCAGCTAAAGGAATAAGTCAGCCCACATGTAAAAGGTGGTCAATCACAGTGCTTGTAACTTTTACTTCAACTTCATTATACAGCAATTCACAAATGCATCCATAATATACCTTATTCATTCACTCATTCATTTGTTCAGTAAACATTAAGCATTTGGAAAGCACTATTCATGCAGACTGCATGCATGTACAAGTGTTGGCATGTGTTCAGGAGAATGGAGGAGGAAAAGTGTGGTAGGAGAGACAGCTGACCTGAAAGCTTGCCCTGCATGAAGATCAACATCATAAAGCCAGGGAGAGCCAGGCAATCTTGCTCATTAAACTCTGTAAAGTGCAATGGGCTTAGAGTATTTGGGGGTTGATAGGTAACATTGTCATTATTGACAGAAGACATGAAAGCCAAAATCAAGAGCTGAGGATAAAGATGTAGCTTTGTATTAGATTTTATTTCTTAAAATTTAAAAACTGTATATTTGCATTAAAAAGTAAAAAATAAGAGCTAGCAATACTAATATCATATTGTTTCTCTCTTTGAAAAAATGCCTGATCATATCGATGAATGCAGAATGCATATCCCATACAGAAATTATTTTATTAGCAAATTTTCTTTTTCTCAAGCTAACATCTTAATATTTTACATTTTTTGTTCTTTTTGTCATTGATAATAGCTGTCCATCATGCATGCAGATGGCATTAACCAAATATAGTTTCCCATGCAATACTGTTGATAGAGATGGTTCAAGGAATAGAAGATCTCTTTTTGGATCTTGACTCAGCTCAGGTGGTATAATTACTTCTAAAACAAATTTACTGTCATGTAATAGAGAAACAGACAAAACTGCAATAAAGATAGATCTATGAACCCTTCATAACTATAGTTTTTCAGGGAGGACCATTGGAAAGATTTTTTTAAACATCAATGAATGGGAGTCAGGAAAAGGCTAGGCAAGGAGACGGGGGGAGAAGAGATGAACAGAACATACTGGTAAAAGGAGCTGCAGAATGAGAACTTCTGTTGCAAATTTTCAGGAGTGCCTGTTTGAATAAACACAGAATGCCTATAATGTTTCTGGTTTTCCTATTATGGCGGGTGGTATAGAAAGTGTTAATTTGGTGTAGATTAAAACTTGGGACACCAAATATCATTGTTTCATTTTTCTGTGATGCCCCTTGCCCTATAAAGAAAGAAAACAAAGCTACTCATCATTTGCTATAAGACAATCAGCACACACACACAAAAAAAAACAGAATTAATTCAGACTTTTTAGTTTCTGGTGGAAAATGTGTATGGATGTGTATGGTTGAGAAATGGGAAGATTTCCTGAAAACTATGTAGGGGAAGGGAAGCCGACCTGTTGTTTGATGGAGGTCATCTTATAAGCTGGTAAGATGGAAGATGGTGTTTCAGGGTGCACCCATGCTTGGTGAGAAGTTATCAAAGAATTTGGGGTACATGTCCCTGTGATTTGGGGGACACATGACAGACACTAACTTCTAGACAGGTTGGTTTGTTGGTAACTAAGTAAGGAGGCCACAGTGGGAGCCAGCCTCAACCGCACCAATGATGGATGACAGAGGGAGATGTCTTGAGATGATCTCACTCAGAGTGAAGGGTATGCTTCAAAAGGAGCCTGGGAACAGATTTCCAGATGCAGAAGTGAAAGGTGTTGGGCTGTTGTAAGCTGCTAGCCAGCCTGAAGGAGACATTTTCACCTCCAGGAAACTGTAATTGGAGGTCCCCACAGATGACAGACAATTCTGAGAAATCCACAAAAGCACCTTGTGAGAGAAAGAGCCAGAAGATCAAATTAAAATCCTGCCAGTCTCTTAGTATCTTTGCTGTCTCCTATCCTCTCCCTGTCACCCCAATTTGCTCATTCTGAAGGGGCCAGAAACTAGAGCAAGTATGGAAGAAACAACAAGCCAGTACCTCCCCCCTAAGGCAGGCCCAAGCTGAGGAGCTCGGATGTTTTCAATTGGCAGAAAGTTGAGTTTTAATGTTGGACTTTGCTGGTCATATTAATAATTATTTATTATGCAGTAGCTAGTGTTAACAGGAATGGTAAGTAAAAACACAGTTGCTTTCTGTTAGTATCCTACCAAGTCCATGTCATTCCAAGAGACAGTAAGTCAGTATTCTATGATCTCACTAGGTACCTTATCTTACTGATGTCTAAAAGATAATGAGTAATACAATGGAAAGGTCTTTCAGATTATTTAAAAGAAAAAGAGATGGAGATTGGAGTTTGAGTATCAGATCTCTTTATTGGCCATGATGCCTCTCTAAGCCTTAATTTTCTCATATGCAAAGTGAAATCATAATTGCCTACTTCACCGAGCCTCCTTAATCCCTAGTTTTTAGATTATGTTTTCTATTTAATGTACTAAAATGTGTGAGAAAAAATATGTATTTCTCTCTGTGATGCCATTTTCAATTGTGTCTTCAGTTCTCTGGTCTTATTCATTAATTTCACTTGTAGTCTCCCTATGTGCCCTCTTTATCTGTGAATCTATTTTATTTGTGTTTAGTGAGATTGGACCATATTTCTTCATTGTACCCTCTTTCTTCATGTGCCATCTTTTATTTCTTTGAGTTCCTGACTTTTAAAAATTATAACAACTTAGCCATTTAACAAGGCATTCTCAAAATGATGACAAATGGTGTGTGTATACATAGTAATATATATGTGAATATATATATATATATATATATATATATAATTTTATTAATGTCTAAACTACTGGCATTATATCTATCTATCTCCAGCCATCTCTTCCCTCCCCCCAACCTCTGCTCTTTCCCTGTCTTTCTTCCCATCTCTCTCTCTCTCTGTCCTTCCGAACTCTTGAGCCCTTCAATATTTAATATCACCTTCAATAGGTGATTTGGAAAGATCTGCTTTCCTCAGTCTCTTCTTTATGTACTTCTTTTCACCAAATTTTCTTTTTTATCCTCCTTCAAAATGATTTTGTAATCTGTCTACCCTCTCAACTCATTGTGCTACTTTTTATATTTTACCTAAATTATTACCTAAAATCATAATGTACACACTCATCTCCTGGCTTTCATGCTCCGATCTGTGCAGCTAATTGTTAACTTTCTAGAGTGAACACCTGATTCTCTCATTTCCTGATTTAAAACCTTCATATTTTTCCATTTTATATTTAGGACAATTTACAGATTCTGACTTTGCACAGCCCTTGAGGCTGTTTATAATGTGCCATAATTTGCCTTTCCTATGCCACCTCTGGTGCTCTCTACTCTGGTCAGACTGTTTTGCTCCTGTTTTCCACGCATGTCATGAAGCTTCATACCTCCCAGCTTCTGCTCATACAGCTCCTTCTGCCCAGATCACTCCTTCCATTCTTATCTAGTTGTCAATTCTTGTTCCTCACATTCTGTTCAAACATCAAATATCAAATACCCTTTCTATGCAGCTTTTCACAGAGCCCTAAACAAAATTATTATTAATCACCCACATTGTGCTTCCCTCTACTCTCCCACTCCTCATTTTTTAAAAGTTAGTAGTCCTTGTGATCTCCCAGAGATAATCAGGGCCTAAGAGCTGAAAATATGTCTTTTCATACTTTTAAACTCTCATAGACAAAGCAAATGACAAATGTTAATTACTAAAATGGGTAGTAATGTATTTTCAGTATCAGACAAATGTATGCATTAGGGTTTTACATGCAGTAAAAAAACTTAATTGCAACATTACATTGTAATTTTCCAGAAGAGACTTGCTTTATTCATTGCAGGTTCTTTGATGTCTAGAGCTGTGCTTGGCCCTGCAGATGCTCAAGAACTCTTTGCTGACCTGCAAAATAAATTAATGAATGAAGAAACAACTCTGTAAGAAATGGACTATCATGATTCCCATAGCACAGATATGGAGCACGAAGCAAATGAAGTCAAGGGATTTGATTGTTACTCCTAAGGTATGTGGTGGTTGAAAGCATAAGTGCTAACACCATAGTCAATGCTTTTAAAACATTAATACAACGCTGTTTTATCCAGCTGGACTGGGAAATGGCAGTTATTTTAGAAGTGAATTTTGGAAAGGTGGCAGCGCAGAAATTAGTCCCTACACAGAGCCAAACAAAAAGCAAGCAACAAAACACACCACCACCACCACCACCACCACCACCATTTTAATCTGAAATGAGATTTAAATGCTGCAAGAATTTTTAAGTGAATTTAATTATTACCAGTAGAAATTAAAAATTAGAAGAGTAAGTAGGATTTCAGAACCCCCTCCACTTTAATACACACACACACACACACACACACACACACACACACACACACACACCAAGGGACAGTGCTTTAATGCTCAGAGCCTGCTGGCCAGCGTCTGTTGCCAATTAAAGGCTGGGCTTTATCATTGGAAGCAATTGTTGTTCTTTCTATTGCAATGAAAAATATTGAGTTGTATTTTAGACACATAGAAAAAATAAACAAAAAGACATTTAACTATGTCATCAAATATTTCACTCTATTATATCCCTCACATACTAGGATTTCCAAGAGAACTAGTAGAAATACTGCTTTAAAATATTATCTTAAAAATGTAGAGTCTATTTCTCACTATTAGAGGTAAAGTTTGCAAAGTTGTGTGCTATGGGAAAGAGATTTGCTTTGCATTTATTAAAAGATAAAAAGTCTAGTTAATTATCAATAAAGCTCTCTCAGTGAAAATCTAAAGTAGCAAGAGATAACAAGCTGCTTAGATACTGAAGATTTAAAAAATTTTTGAGAGGCACCAATTTCATCATTTTCCTTTTAACTCACTTGTGCCTTCAATGGCATAGAAGAATGTTTAAGAATCCAGCTCCAGCCCCAGGCTGCCTTAGTTCACGTTATGGGTCATACACACAGTAACTACAGTATCTTGGGCAAGTTACTTAATCTCTTCGTGCCTCAGCTTACACATATATGTAGAGGTAACAGTAGAGCCTCCTAATGTCATTATAAGGATTCCATAAGTTAGAATCCAAAACACTTAGAATATTGCCTGTCATGTGAAACCAGCTAATTATTATTAATTGTTATTATTTGTAGAGAAGAGGAATTGAGCCAAAAGAAAAATGTAGTTCTTATGACAAGCTAGATCTCAATGTCTTCATTTACCCACTGGATTTGATTAAGTGTTAGTAAGTGAAGTATGAGCCTATTAGCTGGGCACTGTGGAAGGCAGTGGGCATGTAAGAATGAATAGGGAGTGGGCTTTGTCCTCAAATGACAAGCCATACAGACTCAACAACCTGTAATAACATGCACACCCAAAGCGGATGCATTTTAAATTGTTTGTAAAAGCCCCCATGAAATTCTATCAGCTGACATGAAAATAGCCTTCCATTAATTCAAAAGAATTCACATCTCTTTCCTCCCTGCTTCATAGCAGCCCCTGCAACAGAGAGAACTGAATTTATCCCTCCTTTCATCATTTTTCCTTATTTCACATTTGTAGAAAGAGGGGACACTTAGACCTCTGAATAAAGATTCTGAAAGCACTTACGAAATAGTCCTTAAATAAAATAAAAACTTCCGTTAATTCAGTGCAACAGCTGGTGGTTTCTGCAAACTTCCAGAAAAGCAGGTTGGTAAGCAGATAAGCTCTTCTACCCAGTGCCATCAAACTGCCCATTTAAACTTGGAAAGATTGATGTGTGTTGTGCCTTCCCGTTTGGGAATGCTACAATTTACGTCTTTACGCTTGCAAGACTAGCCCAACCTGGTGAAAACACCACTATGATTATCTCAATAGTGCTGAGTCAGATTAGGCTTTTTGGTAAGGGCTGTTGGAGTCTGTCAAAGGAGTGACTTTCTCTTACTTGACAGCACAGAGGTAGAATTTGGTGCCTTGAGTCCTAGTATTAGGGTTTTAAAAAATTATTTTTTTATTTTTGTTTTTTAGAAACGGAGTCATGCTAAGTTGGCCAGGCTGGCCTCCAACTCCTGGCTTCAAGCAATCCTAACACCTTGGCCTCCCAAAGTGCTAAGATTACAGGCATGAGCCACTGTGCCCGGCGCCAGGGCATAGGGTTTTAATGACATTGTGTGTTCTTCTGTAATGGGCCAGCACTTAAGAAGTTTTCATTTGAGCATGAATGAGAAATGTGGAACTGTAATATCAGTAAGTGACATAGTTTTTACAGATCATGCCTACTATGTTTTCATGTTATACTTAAGA